CTTTTACATTTGTACGTCCCAATAAAGTTACATTGCGACTACAGACCTAGCAGGAGATAGAGCAGTGTGGTCATTGAATCATTGTGTTTTATACTTTATTCAACCTTTATTCAAACATTTTTAGTCTTGTAATAGGGCTGCCATCATGCTAGATGTCTAGCTAAATAAAATTAGAGGTGTAATGATTAATCGAATTCTCGATTAATCGCGGTTATGACCATTCAGTTCGATTCACGATTCTTTGCTTTGGTTTCAATGATTTTTGCACACCTTTTCCAGGGTGCCCTCAGTGAGTTATTATAATTTTTTAGATTATTCTAAAATAAGAATCCAGAACTCCTTAATGTGCGTTCTTTATTGATGAGTAAAGACGATAGCAGTCCGTGTGCCATTTTGTGTTGCCTGGTAAAAATGCTGTCCTTCAACCTCCTCTTGAGAATTTCCAAATAATGCAAACCAATTCAAGTGCGACACGCTCCTTGTCAGGTTCTCAAACATGGTGACGAACCAAGCGACTGTGAATCCTCCCGTCCCTGTTACTATTCTCATATTGAGGGTTTAGGGTTGCATGTTGTTTACATTACACATTATGTTATAAGAATTAAGAAACATTTACATAATCGAATCGAAATGATCGAAATCGAAAGGCAATAATGGAAATTGAATCGAATCGCAAGGAATATGAATCGTTACACCTCTAAATAAAATGAAATAAATTTAAAACTAATGATAGCAAAAACAAAATCTCCTACAAAAGATAAAATCGATAAAAATATCATAGCATTAATTATTTTACAATATTAAAAAAGACTAAAAAAAATTAAGCTAGAAAAGAGTAAGCTTCAACCAGTTATGCATAATTATTTTTTATTTATTTTGTCACAAGCATCAACTTAAATATGTCCATCTGTCCCTGGTTTCATAGTCAGTGACGCTGCAGACTTAAATCTTGGTGTAATGACATAATGTGGTCTTGATAATCAACTCCTGGCCTTACACAATCGAGCTGGGACTTGTACTTCTTTCAATTCACAAGGTTACTTGCGCGTTGCTCGGTGGATTTGGCCTAAAAGAGCGAAAAATGGAAACATAGTCGCCAGCGCTGTACTTTACTAATCCGGATTCTACAATAAACGACAAGTTAAATACTAAAATAAGACTTACCCGATACCGTTAAGTCATCCGATATTGTTAGAGGTCTTCGATTCGTAAGAATCCGACTCCTTAGCAGCCTGTCGATTATCTCTACCTCAGGTTTTGAAAAGTTTGAGCCATTGACCTGTCTACCTAAAGTTTACAATGTTTACAACAATATGCTACTAAAATTGATCGCTTCCAAGACAAAGACCAAGAATTGGGCCGTGCCAAGAAAACGACTTTTTTGCCAAGAAAACGACACAAGATCTGGCAGGCGCTTCGCCTCCATCTGTACCCTTCCCATGGTCCCTTGCGGTTCATCGCCAGTCGCTCGCCTCTACCTTGCGAAAAACGAAGCGCCAAAGGAGGCTGCGCCTGAGAAGCTGCAGTTTTTCCAGCAACGGCACAGGTAAACACAGGCAACCAGCCCCTAGCAACGGTTGCTACCAAAAAGCCTCGCTTTGGTGAAATCGCCGCCATATTTGCAATCGGTCTATCTGGAAACTTGTTACTGATAGCTGAAGCTGACAGAGTTTTGTGTCATCTTGTGATGTTTTTAACTGTCTTTTTCTACTGGATGTACAAAATGAAATTCAGCTGCTATCAAGATTCTTCTGCAATTCATTGCTGGTTTTTTTATTGCGCTTTTGGTTGAAAAATGCACCACTTGTCAAAGTGCTTGGAAATCCGATTTCGGATGGCATCGTTTTCAAAAATTAGCTTACTCACTTGCCCTTGCGTGAGGCGTAATATGGTTGAAAACTCTCAAGTGATTCTGGCGTCACTTGATGGCCTTCAGGTGCAGCATCTCAACTGGTAAGCCTGAACAATTATTGTCTTTGATGTGTTTTTTTTTCCGGTTTCCTAACCGGTCGAACGTAGTTTATGCGGCTGGTTATGCAGGAGACAACCCCCCTGACCAAGAAAAGTATCAGGTTTAAAAAGCCTTTAGACATTTTTTGACGGCAAATACAAAGAAAACGTTCCGAAGAATATTTAGTTGTGATTTTGGTTGTAAAAAGAAAGCTCTGAGCGATTTTCTTGCCTTGAGTTCATCATGAAAAATAGGAAACACCGGGAAGCCCGCTTAAAACAAAAATAAGCTTAAGCTTATTCTTACCTGAGTCATGATTTTCAAAGACACTTTGCTCTCAATACTTGTCTTCGTGAATGAAAGTTATTCTCTCTGTGCATGTTTCATCGAATTATATTTATTTTATTGATTTTTAGTAGTCCCTCTCGCAATTTTTATCGTTGCACCGGTTGTTTTCACTCGTACATAAACATCTCACATGCAGGAGTACTCAAATGCCGCGCGCAAATATCACTAACTTTTAACGATGACACATATTAACAAAACCATAAATAGTTTTATGAGTAAAGAGAAATATAACCTAAACATAACAAATTCGCTATCATTTTGTAGCGTACTAAACAGTAAATCTATTAATGTTCATTCAAACACTTGACAGCTCGGACTGCAAATTAGTTCTTGCTTGTCAAAAGAGAGAACCCGTCGCCACGATTTACTTGTAAAGTAAACTTGTCGAACACCAAAAATCCGGCCTGATTTTTTATTTTGGCCTCCCTTTTAGACAGAGGAATGCAACGTGTAAATTGGCTGCCCCGAGGACCATCGTGTGTTTCATAAAATTATATTTCGGGGCTGTCCAAAATATCTAAAGTCTCTCCAACGGAGTGGTTGGAGAGACTATGAATTAACCTTGTAAGGTGGTGGGCGACTTGGTTATTTTGTTTGGAAAATTTGTTTTGCAGGCCTAATTATTCCTCAATGTAATAGCTTCGTTTTACTAGGAGTAACTCTACAGAGTGAAGAGAAATTTAATGAACATGCAAGAACCAACTTGTCAAAGCAAACAAGTGTTTACACGTCCTACGAACACTAAGAAAGGAACACTACTCTCAGGCAGAGATAGATCACCTTTTTATATCTATTGTTTTACCTAATTTTAGCTATGCACTTTCAGTCTATGGGGCATCGGAGTCCGATCTTACGGTTATACAAATTTTTTTAGACCGGTCATCCGCCATAAACGCCGTTTTATTTCATTTCCAGTTTTTATCAAGAACCTTTTAAATAAACAAGACCGAAACATTTTAAAGATATTAATATCAACGGATTGCCACCCCCTGAAAGATATCATTCCTGTCCAGAAGACTTATGTACATAATCTAGCTTAGGAAAAAAGGCTGCGCACGCCCGAAAATCAATACACAGCGTTTTATGAACACCTTTGTAAATAGGTTGAATTTTAAGCTCCATTTATTGTAATGACATACTTTTTAAATATATATATATGTAGATATTTTTATCATAGTTTTTTATCTTCCGTATTATTGTAACATAAGATATGTAGTTTTATCTTTTGATGAAATAAAGACTCATTATTATTATTATTTATTTATTAATCTACTGTGATCGAACATGATTGCTATTTTTGGGTGTACACATAAGACTATTAACCCGATGTAAAATTTGTTTCACTCTTGGACTGTCAAATTATTTTTCTCTAAATTAATTTAGCCTTTGCCTCAAAGTCACATGAATGTGCCCTAAAGTTAACTGATTTGTGGATTACAAGTTTATTGTTTGATTTAAATTATGAATTTAATAACGGGAGCTTCACTACGACAGCTGTGCCGTCCGAAATTCACACCCAGGCTGAAATCGGGATTCTTGCTGATGTCAGCATTTTTGATACCGGTTGGGGGCGGTTCAGACTGGTTATTTTTGCTAATTAATTTGACAAAACCAAAGGTACTTAAAGAAATGCCGATATAATATAGTATAATGAGTCAGATTCAAGTTCAAAAGTTGTGCCAAATTTTAGTCGAGTCAAATCTTCAGTCATGCCAGACAGTTAGGGAGGGGAGGTTTAATGTTCATGAATTATGTGAACATTTTGAAAAAACTGCCATACAAATCGATAAATTAAGCAAAATGATCGAGGAAAACTATAAAATACATGATAATAAGCCAAGATGCAGGGAAGAGCGACGAGCTCAGTATAATGACGAATAATTTGCTAAATTAATTAGCCGAATCGAAAAAATCAAGCAAGACCGCCAAAATGAAGTCGAAAATGATAAAAAATGGGTTGAGATGGATGATGAAAATGATGAATTAATTGGGAGATTGAAGCGGTTGAAACCGGTTGAACTGGTTGAGGAACCGGAATTGGATATTTATGAAATTTTGAAAATGGAGGAGGAGGAAGAGCGTAAAAAAGATGAATATTTTGAGGAACGAGAAAGACAAGATCAATTAAAGCGGTTGAAACTGGTTGAACTGGTTGAGGAACCGGAATTGGATATTTATGAAATTTTGAAAATGGAGGAGGAAGAAGAACGTAAAAAAGATGAATATTTTGAGGAACGAGAAAGACAAGATCAATTAAACCGGATTGAACCACATAAGTCCGATCCAGAGTATAAATTTGAAGCGCTAAATAATTATGCAAATGAATTGCTTCTTAATAGGAAACGAATGAAAAAACAAGAATTTATCAGAAAATTGGATATTTATATGATAATAATGCGGAAAAAATTAATAAACGAACCAGAAAAATGTAAAGAATTGAACAAAATAATAACTAGTCTTAAACACAAATTACGGGAAAAGCGGAAAATACCGGTTGAGGTGATCAAATTAATGCTAAAATGGGTGAAAGAAAGTAGCGAATAAATTAGATAGTCAGTTAGATAACCGGTTGATTAGGTCAGTTAGTTAGAATTATTAGCGGTTAGTTTATATAAATTTTCAAGATGTTTCTGTGCTAATGGTGGTAATTGTGTGTTAGATGGCGCCATAGAATTTGTTGAATAATTAGGCATGTGTGTTAGTTGCGGTAAATTGGGTATTTGTTTATTACCCTTTCGTTTGGTACCTTTGGAACCTTGTTTTGTCAATAAATGCAGAAAAAGATAACGATACTGTACAATTAATTCAATAATATGTCGTCTTTTCATACGCGTAACAGCAAACTTATCCGCTTTCATTTTGATGATTTCCTTTTTGAGTTCTTTGAGAGTGAATGTATTCAGATTTTTTCGTAATTCTATCTTTTGGAGTTCATTATAGTTGTCTAATAATTGGTCAGCATTCATATACTAATTAATTAGATAATCCTGTGGATGACTCTGTAATGGGTAGTAACGGTGTCTTTATTATGGAAATATTTGATGCAATAATTACACGGCAGTCTGACACCTTTCATATAATCATGTACTTCTATACAGATTTCATCATAGTCGTTACTTAGGATAAATTTATAGTTATTATTGCTGTATTTTTCCATCAACTCATATTGCGCTTTACTAACATGATAATTATTAGTTGGTGATTTGAATTCAATACAGAGGCCTTTATAATCTTTGTGATAATCGAGTACCATTAGATCGGGTTGTTATCCTTTCCTTTGTTGATATCCTTTCTTATACGAATCTAGTCTCTTATCCTCAGTATCTTGATTCTCTCCCAGACCGGCTACTAATATAGAATCTGGATAATATCTCCTTATGAGGTTCACTACTTTATAATGGAGGTCAGTCTCATTGCCAATCATGATCATCTTATTCCAGGGACTATCAAATAGTTTGTATTGACCATACTTGCGGGTTGATGGGAGGACTGTGGTGAATACCCAATCACGAAATTTTTTAGCAGCTTCTAATTTGGAACTAAACACAAGTTCATAAAAACCAGCTTCATCAATAAAATAGGTCATAGCCCACCCCGTTGTTTTGACGGGTTGCCTAAAAATGTGTTTTATTTTGTGATTTTCAGATACATGTTTTCTAATAGCCTGATCAGTATCATTATAACCGAGAATAGCAGCCACATCCTTTCCTCGGAACCAAACATTTTGTTTATCATCAATATATGATGTCAGCTCAATTTCTAAATCGTCATTAACAAACATTTTTTCAATCATTCTTTTCATATATATAGGTTACATAAAAAACATCATCATTCAGACCATATTATATGAAAAGAATGATCGATTAAAAAGTTTGCTAGGCCTGAGGTGCCGTTTCAGCACATTAGACCTAAGGCCCCCTCGTGTAGACGCCCCCTTAGTGAAACGTCCACGTCAGCTTTCTGAACCTGACCCGGCATTTCACCGGGGTAGCTTTTGGGGTGTTGTGTTGGCGCTCCGTTTTGGGTACGGCAACAAATTAACTGTTTATGGTTATCCTTACTCATGCTCCTCCTCTTCCTCCGTTTCAAAGATTGCACCTAAAACGCCTGTTAATGTCATCTCAGCTGATTCCAGTTTTTTGGATATTAATTTCTTGTGGTATAATGTCGCAATTTCTTCTTCCAATTTTTGGATTTTAGTGAATAGTGCATTAAGTTCGGTTTCCTTACTCTGGATTTTAGTATCAAGCTTTCTTATATGATCGTCCATACATACTATTAGTTAGATAATTCTTGCAGGTTGCTTAGTGGAATCCAACTATTAAAGTCGTCACTATAGCCCAACCATTTTACCAGAGCTTGTTTCTTCTTATAATCCCTCCGAATGACCTTTTCAATGCGGAATACTTCCTGTTTTGCTGGTAGTAATTCAGGCTCATAAAAGCTGCCTTGTATTTCCTCATTATTGAGATCTTTTAATCTGTATGTGATTGGGTTTGTGGATTGGATTTTACCAATCAGGAATATCTCTTCTGTCCAAGTAGGTGTGTATCCTTTATCGAACACCTTTCTCTTGTACTTACTTATCCTAACTTTATCACCAACCTTAAATTTGGGCTTAGATGATGATTGCTCCATATCACCATATAGATTGTAATATACCGCATTTTCATTCTTCTTTTTACTAGCTTCTACAGGTGTCATTTTAATGGAACTGCGTTTGGTGTTGTTATACTGCTTCAATATTTTTGGCAGTATCTCAAGATATTGGGTATTACCCTGGACAGTAAACTGCTTCCACATTTTGGTTTTAATTGTACGGTTCCATCTTTCACATACACTAGATTTTTCCTCATTCTCGGTTGAATATAGTGTTATATTATTCTTTTCCAATAGTTCCCTCATATTTTTGTTATAATATTCTTTCCCCTTATCAGTCCAAAGATATTGTGGTTTACGGCCCTCTTTGAATATAGTTTTGAATGCTTCTGTGACAGTTTCCCCTTTCTTATCCTTTAATGGTACAATCCAGCCATATTTGGAGAATAGATCTAATACCATGAGAAGATATCTGTAACCTTTGTTCCATTTGCTGAACTGTTGCATCTCAACCAGATCTGAGCACCAAATTTTGTCAATACCGGTTGTAATAACACGCCGCCGAGTAAAGTTGCGTTTTAATGGTTTATGTAATTCATCCGCTAATTGTTGTTGCCAACTGATACCCGACGGCTTTTCTAGTTTAAACCAAGACAGAGTTTCTGTTTTTTGTTTATTAGATTTCTAGCTAACCAGTGTCCCCATTGTCGTTCACTATAGGGAATGGCGTCTAACGATTTTACGATTTTACGGTCGACTTTATTTTTACACTTTCGGTTATCACCACAAACACTGTAATCGACATCATGTTGCATGGCCACGGCATCGGTTGGCCCAGTTGGTTGATCATAAATTTCTAATATTTCACCAGTTTCTGGATTGTATCTGACTTGGTTTTCGAGATCGTTGTAAGGGCCTGTATACCGATGTCTTGGTAAAGTCCATCCACCTGCTGGTTTTGGTAATTTACCAATCTGTTTGTGGATATCTATAGCACTTCCATCCAAATCTTTCCTGTTAGTTTTGTAGTTTTTCTTTGGTCGTATTTTGGTTGATAATTGGTTAAGAGCTTGAGAACCGGCATTCTGAATCATTGGATTTAATTTGTCCAGAGCGTAGTCGATAGCTTTTTTCTGTAATTTAGGGTTTCTGAGCGCTTCTGACCCGTAATATCTCCCCATCTCAACGGTCTTTTTTGCCATATAAGGTAAAGCATGATGTACAAACCCATCAAGAGCAGTACCAGCTATTGTATCGATTACGCCTGCCCCTAGGACAGGCTGACCTAGTTCCCTTCTTGACAAACTTAAACTTTTTTATTCCCCATTCAGCACAAGTGCACCAAAACATAAGTCTACCATTTTTGGCAGTTTTATAACCTGAAGGTTCTACACATTCTGTTTGCTTCTTCTGTTTAACACAATAAGATTTTACCATTATTACATATTTATGTTATATAATTATTGTCTAATCACTATCACTATCTGTCTCATAATCACTCTCACATAAGGGCTCACAGTTGCAGCACTCGAAACATCCATATTGATTCACATAATGTGGAGTAACTTCTTGGCAATAAACACAAAATTTTTCAGTCATATATAATAGTGTTACATAAAATAGTTTATCAGAAATTGGTGATTTATCATTTGATTTGTAAAACTGAATTTGGGGTTATGTATAATGTCTAATAATGATTTCCCTTTTTGTCTCTCTAGGAGGTAATATAAGCACCAATAACCGCACAAAACACTGTCTCTTTCTTGTATTTCATCTGATGAGTACACCATTTTTTTACCGCTTGTTTTCAGATAATTTTTTATTTCATTGGGCATGATTAATCCGAATGGATCAAAATATTCACAATATTGCTTATCCACGTTTCTATAACAAATCCAATGACTGCCTCCGCCCATTGAATCATCAAGATTAATTATTCCTGTTTCCAATTTGTGTCTTTTGTCTGGTAAATTATCAAGGCTGTAAATACCCCTACAATATTTTATTCCTAATTGTGTAACCCATTGTAACAGATCAATATTCGTTAACGGTTTGTTTATGAATTTTACAGTATTGTTCCTAGAATTGGGATTGAATTGAATGGGCTGTTTTTGCCGAGCAGCAGTCTCTTTCCCTTTCTTTTTTTTTTACTCCCATACCAACTGGATTTTCCCATGTTCCAAAAAAAGGTGGTGACATGTAGGGATACGGATTTTACATTCCGTGGCCATTAGTTGTATCTGGAACATAAACAGATGTTGTATTAGCGGAACCGGTTCTGTCAGCCTGCAGTCCTTTTCCTGTTAATGCGTTTAGTAATAGAGGGACTCCTATACTCGCTAGCAGAGTTCCTAAAAAACCACCCTGCTGTGTTTTCGTCGGTCTGATAAGTAATCCGTTACCAGTTTGGAGAGCATTAAGAATGTCCTTTTTTGCCCGGTGTTCAGTAAATGTTTATATGCAACCAAATGTGCTATTTTGTCCATTGGAATAAGGAATCCTCCTCGTTGGCCTTTCCCGAATATTTTATCCACACCTAAACTGGCTAATGCTGATAACGCTCCTGTTGCAAACGGTGCGATAGCTTTTTTGGCTAATGGCATTGCCATAGGTAGTAACTTACTTCCTAAACTGATTAACGATCCCCACAAACTACCACCCTGTCTAACAGCCTTTCTGATTTGTGTTTTTGATATCTTGATATCCGACCCTGTACCCTGATTCATTGCCTTTTTCAGTTTATTGATCTGACATTTTGTGGGCATTAATTCATGTGGGCCGGAGAACTCATTTCTGGCTAATCTGATCGTTATTGCCGAGTTATTATTATAAGCTCTCGAAAGCTTTTCCAATTGCCCTTTACTAAGTGACACACCATAAGGATAATATTTTGTCATTACTTATATATAATATACGTTACATAATTTACGATCTAAGTATTATTTTACCATCTTTATGTATTAGCTCAACATCTTGCTCATATAATGTTAATGCGTAAATTGAGTAGGCTGTTGCCGTTGTTCCAGATAGCTCATATTTAAATGTCAGTTTTGTAGTGCCATCCTTAATGTCCATCTTCTGTTTTGTTAGGTCGAAATATAGGAAGGGGAATAGTGTACTAAAATTAGATTTATTGAGTAATGACCCTTCACCGTATTCATTATTTTTGTGAACATATTTCAACACATCCCTAAGGACTCTAGTCATATCAGTACTTGGTGTGTAATGTATTTCGGGGTATCATTTCCGTTTCCAACTTCCAGGTGACAATTGGATAAGGTTCTTGGGTCAGTTGATATAGAGAATGTGTTGTACAAGAATGGATTAGCTGTCTGGGAATCGATATTCGCATCATTGATTATAAACACAAACACGTGTCGGGGTTTTGAAATACCAGAAGAGATTCTGAAATGCCCAGCTCTCTTTTGGCTGCTATTTGATCTTTCAATATTCTCTCTCAAATAAGTCCACTTATGATTTTTAAGGTATTGGCTCATATAGGATGATTGGCCCTCACTGTTAAAGGTTATCCGTGGTACATACAATTGCATTCTGGTGATAACCACCCTGCAATCAGCCCCGGCTTGCCAAATTAGATTACCATCTGACTCAATCTCAAAATTCATCTCAACTCTTGTATTAGGTAACAGCTCATCCTCTAACATTTCGAAAAACGAGTATCGGTTCAGTGGTATTTCTGTATTTACTGTAGATGAGACACCTAAGAGTGCTTTCCGAAGGGCAAAACCTTTATTGAAAGCTGCTCGCCTTTTAGCTAACTGATTTGTACCGCTAACTTCAAATTCCCGCTCTTCCGCATTTCTGGATGTATCAAGGAAGAAAAACTCATTACTTGCTGTCTTACTGGCGTAAGCCGGACTGTAGTCAAACAAGTTTTTAATATTTACCGCGTGATTCGCGTCATTACAATCGTACACTTTTTTGCCATTCAGCTTAATATCAAAATGTTTCAACAGTGAGTACGACCCGNTAAGTCCACTTATGATTTTTAAGGTATTGGCTCATATAGGATGATTGGCCCTCACTGTTAAAGGTTATCCGTGGTACATACAATTGCATTCTGGTGATAACCACCCTGCAATCAGCCCCGGCTTGCCAAATTAGATTACCATCTGACTCAATCTCAAAATTCATCTCAACTCTTGTATTAGGTAACAGCTCATCCTCTAACATTTCGAAAAACGAGTATCGGTTCAGTGGTATTTCTGTATTTACTGTAGATGAGACACCTAAGAGTGCTTTCCGAAGGGCAAAACCTTTATTGAAAGCTGCTCGCCTTTTAGCTAACTGATTTGTACCGCTAACTTCAAATTCCCGCTCTTCCGCATTTCTGGATGTATCAAGGAAGAAAAACTCATTACTTGCTGTCTTACTGGCGTAAGCCGGACTGTAGTCAAACAAGTTTTTAATATTTACCGCGTGATTCGCGTCATTACAATCGTACACTTTTTTGCCATTCAGCTTAATATCAAAATGTTTCAACAGTGAGTACGACCCGTTTACAATTCCATTATGATCTGCCACTGCAATGTTACCACCATTAGCCAGACTACTTTAAAATCAAGACTGATACGAGCATTATACCAGTCAAATTGTGTAACCTCACCACTGTTATCAACAACAAACCTGTAGCCATCTTTCTTTTGGTGACGATTATTGGCGACAGTTGTATTTAGTGCTGTTTCTAGGTCAAAAATAACATCTTCATATCGTTCAACATAGTTTGGATCTCTAAATGATTTCATTATAGTAATAGATTACATAACTCTTCTCATCTGGCCTCCAGATAGTAATTGATTCACCCTCTCATTAATTTCGTAATCGGTGAGTTCTCTTGATTGTGGATTTTCTATTGGCGATGTCGCTGCTGGTAATGCTGCTACCGGTGTCTTTTTATTCTTTTTGCTTAATAATTGAATAATTTTATCGCCGGCTTTTTCGCCAGTATATTCACCAGTTTTAGTAGCAGCTTTTTGAACGGCCTTTTTTGTTGCCGTTTTAGCAGCTTTTTTCATGGTCCTTCCAAATAGCTTTCTACCAATCGTTTTGAAAACATCGGTAACACCTTCTCCATAAATATGCTTCTTAACATATCTCCCCGTTTTAACATCATAACGTCTCTTAAATTCTGATTGT